CTGGATCTCATATTGAATTGAGGTTGGACCCCTAGCGTTGCGGTATCATGGGACCCTACATCTGGGGTCTGGGTTAATGTAATGGCAGTCTAGTTGCATGGGGGGGGGAGCGGTTCTGTGGGCTCAAACCCATCCCTATTGGTAGAGCATGGTGGGAGGAGTGCTTAGAGAGGTCACATGACACCCTTTACTTCTGGTTGTGTCCATCTTGATCCCGGAAGTACTGCCCCAGGCACAGAACTTCTTGTCTAGGTGGGCAGGACCTAACGGGTCAGTGGGAGTGACCAGAGTGTCCCTATTTTTGATTCAGAAAATATGGTCACCGTACTTATTCAGTTCCCCAGCCCTGTGGAAAAGTACCACAGTCAAGATGGATTCCAGCACCAGGTGACATGGATGCATGTCTTCGTCTGGAGGGAGATAGTACTCCCCTACTCAATTTTCTCTTGCTAATGGGCTATTGTCTCTATGTCTGGCCTCTTCATTGTTGTTCCTGATGGGCTGAAGGTAGGCTTTCTCAACATGAACACTTTGATAATAAATCCATAGTTAATATGCTTAATTTCAGACACAGAAATGGTACATGCATACAAATAAACTATACACATTCAGGGGATTACAAGCTTTCCAATGATAGGTTACATGCAATTATTTGTAGAAGGCATGTTTGAGTTAGGTCAGAGTAATGGGCATATTTCCAAAAAGAATATGGGGTTCAACATCACACATTCCTTCTCCGGAACTGCCACTCATCCTCTTTATTTGTATGTAGGGCAGTGCTTGTATCTTTATTGGCATACCTCTGCTCCAATTGAAGTCAATAGAAACAAAGTTAGGCTAAGATGGAATGCTTTTGAAAATCTTGCCTCTAATTAATAATAATGTGGGCCCTTGCTCATGTGTTCAGTATGTGTTTGAGATGTCTAGTTCAGGGATTCTCAGACTTCACTGCACTGCGACTCCCGCCCCCCACTCCCACTGACAACAAAAATTCTTCTTCGAGTGATGTCCCCGTGGGTGCTCCACTACAGGTGTCGGGCTCGTCCCGGCGCCGCAAACCGGAAAGTTTTTGCTAGCAGTAGCCCCCTCTGGAGGACTGCGCATGTGCAGAGCGTCCCGCGGCGTTCGCGCCTTTTCTGCGTCGCGTGGTCCGACCCGCCAGTTCCTCCTAACCGTCCACGGCCGCAGACGGATTTGGAACACGCTCCTCTCCTGAGGAGAAATCGCATTGTTATTCTATATTCTTTCCCAGTTAGCCCCTTCCTACTTAGTGTTAGTCAGTTATGGTCTTAGATTAGTTAGTTAGTAGTTGATAGTTTAAAAAAAAAAAATTCCTCTCCTGTTATAAACCCTGAGGGAAGCTACGGCGAGCCCCTCAAGTTGGTCTTTCCCCGGAGACCTCCTCAGCAGACATGCCCGGCTCTCCGGGATTTAAGAAATGTGCTTCGTGTGGAGAGGCCATGCCCGTCTCTGATGGCCACTCCCATTGCATTCGCTGCCTAGGAGAAGGCCACATCCCCCAGAAATGTGGTTACTGTGCCAAGTTAACCGCACGCACAAGGCGCGACAGAGAAATGCGCCTGAAAATGCTGCTTTTCAATAAGGCTCTCCAGCCCCCGTCAGCAACAGAACGAGAGGATCCGGGTGCGCATAAGTCTAAGGATGGAAGAGGCTCCGCTCTGTCCAAGAGCCTAAGTGCAACAGACGCACGAGGCTCGTCGGGCCACCCTCCCACACAGGGAGCGGACAAATTATCGAAAGCCTGCAGCACATCAGCTCCAAGTCCCGCGCTCTCAGTGATATCGGTCCTGCCAGGCCGCCCGGAATTGGCACCATCATCGGCGGCACTGAGTCGCCGAGCGAAAGCCCGCAGCACATCAGCGCCGAGCCCCGCACTCTCAGTGATATCGGTCCCGCCAAGCCGCCCGGAATCGGCACCATCATCGGCGGCACCGAGTCTCTGAGCGGCACCGCAGCCAGATACGGTGCAGTCCTCGGCACCGAGGCACTCGGCACCGTTGCCTCATGATCGCTCCCAGGCTAAGCCGGCACCGGGAGTCGACCCGGCACCGAAGCCTAAGCAGGCACCGAAGACTAAGCCACAGCCACCTAAGGCACCGGATACGGCACCGAGGAAACACTCGGCACCTAGGTCATCCCATTCAAGACCTAGTGATGCAGCTATCCCACACACTCAGGGCACGTCGGCACCAACCCGCACCGACCAACCATTGTGCGCGGCTGAGCTAGCTCCGTGTGTGGTTTCGGCACCGGCCCTTACGGCCCTACAACCCCATGTCTCTGGGAGTGACACGGCTCCACCATCCCCATCTTCTGCGCCTCGGTCACCACACCTTCCGGGAGAAGTCTCTGACGTTGCCTCAGTTGCCTCCATTCCGGGTAGCCCAGTCCCCCAGGCTCTACCATCCACGGCGGTGCCGACTAAGGCGCAAAGGAAGACCCACCATCCTCGCACACCTTCTCCAGGTTCAGATAGGGCGACCTTCTCTCCTGGACCATCGCTCTCACCACCTCAAAGACGGCGGGACCACTATTACGATTATTCCCCTACGCATCGCTATTACAGATCCCCAAGGCGATCCATTACACCGCCTCACTATAACCGCAATAACTACTCGAGATCTCCGTATCGTTACTCATACCGCTCACGATACCCGCGATCTCCTCCAAGCTCCCGTTACTATCGCCACAGGAGCGCCGCTTCTTATTCTCCGCAGTATCCACACCGTGGTTCTCGCCATCGTATGCACACCTCGCCTCATTCTGATCGTTCACGTTCAGTCACAAGGTGCTCATCCTTGTCCCCAGACCAGCAACAATTATATTCGCCAAGGCCGACTACCCAGGATTCTATTCCGCCGGCTCAACGCCCACCAACACCTACCGGGGGTGCGTCAACAACCTCCGCCCCGCATGACGATACCACTCAGTTGCCGGTGGCAGAGCACCAGCCTGTGGCCTCTCTGACAGATGCCGCTGCTTCTTCCCCGGACGACACGGTTTTTAATGACGATCCTCCTCTTGCGGATGACTACAAGCAATTTCATGAACTTTTCAAACGGGTAGTGCATTCACAAAACTTACGCACCTCTGGGGCACCACCAAAACACCATGCCCTCCTTAGAAACTTACAGCAGTCCAGCAAATCTAAACTAGCTCTCCCTTTCGATGCCGCTATCCTGGAAGTAGCTAATGACATCTGGCAAACCCCGGCATCTATGCCCCCTACCAATAAACGCACAGACAGAAAATACTTTATTGATGCCAAAGACGCAGAATTTCTTTTTACTCACCCCGTACCAAATTCCATTGTTGTCGACGCAGCTCAACAAAAGGCAAGGTCCGCACAAGCGAGAAATTCCACCCCGGACAAAGAAGCCAAGCGTCTGGACTTGCTCGGCAGGAAGGTATATTCGTCGGCAACAGCCACATTAAGGATGGGACGTAATGCACTCCAGATATCTCTGGATATTGCCGATTCAGCTTCCCGCACTACGGCGACATGGATAGTCATACGACGTGACTCTTGGCTCCATCTGGCTTCTGTGCCAAAAGATCTACAGCCTAAGGTGGAAGACCTTCCATTCGACCGAGCATCCCTGTTTGACCAAAACACGGATCAAGTGTTTCACTCCGGAAAAGACTCCCGAACCATGTTAAGAACTCTCGGGATGTACACTCCACCTTTCAGGCGCCGGAGAGCTTGGCCATATAACAGACAAAGGCCTCCTCCTTCTTCTTCTTCTTTTTATTCCAACCATCGCTTTAGACCTTACGACCAACATAGACAAAGGCAGCGCCCCCAACGTCGCTGCCAGCAGCCTAACAAAAATCACAACCAGCAACAACCTCGGCAGCAAGTTTGACGGACTTGTCGAGGGTCTGCGTACCATCCCCCTACTGGAATCCCCAGCACGAGTAACCAAGCTCTTCCACCGCCGTCTGAACCCTTACTCCCTTTGTTGGTTCGCCATCACCACGGACCGTTGGGTCAGGGAGATTGTAACCTCTGGGCTCACCATTCCGTTCTCCACTTTACCTCCCACCAACCCCCCATCCCTGTCCCTTTTCAGGGACCCCTCTCATGAATCCCTGTTACGTCAGGAGGTCATGCACTTGCTTACCATAGGTGCGGTGGAAATAGTTCCTCCCAAGTTCCGAGGCAGAGGTTTCTATTCCCGGTACTTTCTCACTGAGAAGAAGTCGGGGGGATGGAGACCGATCCTAGATCTTCGCGGCCTCAACCGCCACCTGCGAAGACACAGATTCAAGATGGTTACTCTGGGTTCCATCATCCCAGCACTACACAGAGGGGATTGGTTCGCGTCCCTCGATTTACAGGACGCATACTTCCATATTGCCATCCATCCAGCTCACAGGAGATTTCTACACATTACCGTGGGAGACGATCATTTCCAATACACGGTGCTCCCCTTTGGCCTATCCGCAGCCCCAAGAGTGTTTTCAAAGACCATGGCAGT